CCCCGCGCTCCCCCGACACTTGTGCTAAATGGGACCAAAAGGATTTACCAATGCAACGACGGCAAATTATACTGTTCAACCACCGGTGCAACGAGGTGCTGGGGCTCATAGGGACTGATGCCTCCAGGGCTCGCTGGTGATGACTTTGCAGCCCGGGTGGTCCAGAGAGCCCCAGCAGCATCCCTGGGCCAGGCTGGAAGGTGGAGGCTTTATTTTCATTTTCTCCTCATGTTTATGACCTGACCAGTGTAGATTTTATGGTGCTTAACTCTGTATTTTTTTTTTTTTTAACCTCCTTCCTCCTCACCCCGATGGATGTAAACCTTGCGTAGCAGGGACGGCGTTATTCCCAGTGGGCTCCCTCACCTGGCTGAGGTTTTCCTATGGTGCTTTGGGATGGGGCTGTGTCAGCATCCAGCGCGTAGCTGGATGCTCCTTTACACCCCGGTTCAGGGCGGGTTGTAAACCGCCCGCCTGAAGATTTTCAGGGCTAAAAGGGATCACTACGGATCTGAGATTTGAGCTGTCATTCCAAAAAAACCAACAAGCGACTGTACTGTAGTACCACGGCGCGGTGCTGTAGGGGGTCAGACGCAGCCCCGCGAGTCGCCGGTACTTGACTCCGCTATGGAAATGGTGCTCGCTGCTTAATGGGACCAGTATGCCGTGCCCAGACATCCCACCACCCTCTGCCCTCCAACCTTTGGGCCAGGCTGGGTTATCTTTCCTCTGCTCCCCTGAGATACCCTGAGCTGAACTCTAGCAGAGCTGGTGGAGCTGGGGTGACATCCCCGGCGTGGCTTTTGAGCTGCGGAGTGGAAGATAAATTCGGGTCTTGGGTTTTCCTGGGGGAAAAGGGGCTCAGCGGGGTTCAGGTGTGTGGGGAGGGAAGGGGGATTGAACCTCTTGCTGCTGCAGAGCATCTACAACCAGCTTCCCCTTCCAGAGTTTTGTGCAAGGGTTTATTCTGCACCTCTGGATGGTTATGTAGCATCGTTCCCGTTGCGGCCGGAGCCCTCTTCCCAACGACCCTTTAACGCATCATTTAGGTCTCTTGCTCAGATCCTACCATCAGGGACCATTTCACTTTTTGCTTTTCCACTGATGAAGGTGCCTCTTAATTAGCTGGGACTGTGAGCAAGCCAGGGTCTCTGGGTCGAGCTATGCCCTTATTGGGATCAGCAGAAAGGGACAACAGGGACGATACACAGATTATGGGTAGGCAGAAGATGCTGTCTCAGCTACTAGAGGCTTGGAGCCTACCTTGCTCGCTCGGTCCCATGCAGATATAGCGTGGAAACTCCTCGTGCCCTTTGGTCTGCTCCAAAAGGTTCTCCAGCTGTGGGCAAGGCGAGAAAGATCACAAGAAAGAGGACAGCGGTCGCACGAGGATTTCCTTGCTAGACCTTTCCACCAACTTCGCAACCCCCTCGTGACAATGTTTGTAGACCCATCCTCCCCGGATTTATGTAATCCCTTTTTGAACACAATAATATTTTGGGTCTCCACGCTGCTCGATAGAGCCAGGAGCAGATGTTGTGGTTGCTCTGCACAGCAGGGGACGGGACTTAATGTTCTAGGAAATCCCTTCCAGGTCTCCATTCCCATGAACGTATCATCCATTTTTGGAGAGTTTCCCTGCGTAACCGAGCCCGTCGCGCTTTCATTTGGGGACAGAGCTCCGAGGAGCTCCCCTTTTGTGTCTTGCCATCCAACAGATGGTTTCCAAGCCACCGAGAAATCGTCACCCTCGCTGACGGTGGGGG